GTGCAGCTCCAGACAYCCAAATCCTCCAGTGTGAGCCAAGTTTGGGTTTCCAGCACAAACCCCAGGTGCTCTGTGGCAAACTGATGGGAAGGCTTTCGTGCTGAGCTGTCTCACACTAATGACCCCACAGCRGGATCTGGCAGGCAAAGGCAGCCCCCAGATTTAGCCAGCGCCGCTTGAGTTTCAGATGGTGCAGAACAGCACATTGATCCATTTATCGTCTGGAGGTTGCCATGGAGACCACAAGTCATTCCCCACCATCACCACCCCCCYGCAGACCCCCCCACTGCTTTTCAATTGATAGCTGGGCACTGGGGAAGCATTTGCAGCACCGTGGAAATTAAATCCACACCAGAGGAGCAGGGGATTCAGAGCCGACACTGCCAAGGGACCTCAGCTTGAGGCAGAATATCCTGCTCTTCCCCACTGGGCAAGGCCAAGCAACCACGGGCTCCAAGCCTAAGTATTACGGGAAATTAACAATAATAAAGTGGGATTTAATGCCACCCCATGGGCTCCCTCTGACAGTTCTCATAAGGTAGCAGGGGGAAAAGACACCTCTGTAAGTGCATGTGCCAAAACAGGCTTTGGAGTGTCCAAAAGGAGGACAGCTCCACCAGAGCAAAGCACCAGCGAGCTCCCATCTCCCCAAACAGGGTAACACCCAGGAGGACAGCAGATTTCTGCTTTCCATACAGCAGATCCAGTCAGGAAGGATCACAGCTGATCCTTCACTGAAGGGAGCAGAGCATCAAACAACTCGTGCACATTACAGGCAGCACGATGAAGAGTGGGTGGATCAAACAGACTCAAGCAACCGAAACTGGGATCAACTCCAGCTGYCTGCTGCTGGAAAAAASTMATTTCTTGGTCTGTAGAAGATATGWGAGCCCCCAACTCTGGGGGCAGCAGAGCAAGGCTAGAGTTGCTTGAACACATCCTGTAATCCCACCCTTCAGATAAACTTTCCCCAACTTCTCAGCCAGGAAGCAAAGAAAATACTTGACCTGCCTTTGGCACAAATGTCCCAATGGGGTGCCCAATAGTGCCTCTCCACACCTACCAGTCCAGGCTCTAGCACCACGAAGTGTTCAGGTGCTGTTCAGCACTATCATTTACTAGAACCATACAGTATCACATTTCCTTCCTCACACCCCATGTAGGATGAAAATACACCACTAAACCAACCTGAAAAAAATTTTCCAACCTCAGTGCTTAGGGTTTGGCTTTTAACTCCATACATAGCCACTCAAGTAAGTCATCTGCTTAGTGAAAAGAGCTGATCCCATGTAATTCCCTTGCATTTTAACAAAGAGCTGCTGTGCAAGTGCTTGTTCCCTGCACACACAAGTATGAAAACTTGGTGCTCCAGAACCCAATTACCACAAACACCTTTTAGCAGGCCAGAGGACATGACCTTTTGTGCCACGCATGGTGGGTGCTGCCAGAGGAGCCCAGCAGCCAGAACCCAGCCCAGGCACTGGAGATGAGGACACAGGGCAGGTGGCAGAGCACAGAAAGGCAGCTGCAGGCTGAGAGCCTTCAGGGAAACTCAAGAAGCGTGGTGTAAATACTGTATGTGCCTGGAGCCAGAGAGCTCAGCGAGGGCTGTGTGTGGCATTTCCTGAAGGTTACCTCTAATAAGTGCTGTCAGCTTGCCAGCCTTCGACTGTCTGCTGAGCCCTTCTGTGGGAAGCACGGCGTGGCCCAGACCTCTGTGGCATTGTCACAATCTGTGACAGCAAGAGCTCAAAAAATAAAATTCCTCCCACGCAGCGCAGACAAAGCAGGTGCAGGATACCAGGGCAAGCAAACCCACAGTAATCTGGCAGGATGGAAAGGCTCCATGGCAGAGCTGCTTGCTGAGCGTTGTTTCCTTGTGCAGAGAGGAGGTGACAGAGGGTGACAAGGGTGGCAGAGGGTGACAGAGGGTGGCAGAGGGAACAGCCAGGGGCAGGTGAGCAGGTGGCACCCACTCTGCCCCAGCAGCAGCAGCAGCCTGGGCACTGCACCCACCCTGTGCCACAGCCATGAGTACCACAGCACACCAGTACACATTTGCATTTATTTTCCAGCTGCCACCAGAGACTATCCTGGCCSTCCCCACTCATTTGCTTTTTCCAACAGGAACAGACAGGGCACTTTCATTTGTTCCCTAGGTCAGGTTTACTCACAAGTTTTAAGCCTTTCCAGGCTTAAAAGCCCATTGGTGAAGGGGGTCTGCTCTGTGCTGTTCTTCAAATCACCTGCTGAGCCCAGAGCAACACAGGAGCTTGGAAACAAGGTGTGAGTGGCACCAGTCTCTCCAGCAAGGACAGACACCAAGCTTTCCAGCAAAAGCAGAAAATGCCCACAGCTCTTCTTGCTAAGTCTCTGCTGCTCTCCGCCTCCACTCCACTCCTTCCTTTTCTTTTTTTCAGAGAACAGCTCCAAACACAGCACTGGAAATAAATGCCAGTGGTAAGCAGACAGTACACACCAGATAACAAACACTGCAGTTGTGAGCAGAGAAGAACTCGGGAGATCTGTCATTCCAGTTTCCAGAAGAGAAAAAAAAAAAAAGCCACAGTTCAAGGCCTCTTCGGTTACGTAAACTTCATTTCCATGTCTTTTATCACTGATAAGATAAGCCATTGCTCAAGTTCAAGTTCTGTATCAAGTAAACCATGATAATCCTCTTAGGAATTCCCCATGCCCCAGCTTGAACAGACCTGCAGAAAAGAGCTTAAGGGGTTGCCTTCAGCTTAAAAAAAGAAACGCACAAGCACCCAGCCACAGATTTATTTATAACATAGGCAAATTTGGGGCCTCGTATAGAACACTGGAGGCTTATACAGCTCTGTCTGAATAAGGGATCTACTTCTGCCCTAGTTCATAAATGCTACAAGCTACTACTTGGTCATGCATCACTCAGCTGAGCCCCAAACTGGAGATGACTGCCCTTGCAAGAAGGATTTCTTGCAGCAATAAGAATCCAGAGGGTCAGGCCCCAAAAGAAATTAAACTGATTCACAACCAGTAATACACACTTTGTCCTGGATTAGAGCAACAAGACTTTTCCAGGCAGCTGTATTTTTTTGGTTTATTATAGTACAGGATAATTTCATATCCTTTAATGCTGGTACCAGAATTACAGTGATTTTAAGTAATTATTGGCCAACCTCAGGTACAAAATTTTAAAGTCACTAAGACCACSTCCTCCTGTACTTAACTGTCAGAGCATCCAGAAGTGAAACATCCCTGTCCACATTTCTTAAGAGGGTGATTTGATCCAATCTAGCAATGGACTAGATCTACCAACCACTTAAATATGCACTCACATGCCCCACACTGTAACACCAAGGGCCATTTCATAAATTTCTGATTGCAAGACAGATGACAGCAATAAGCAAGCACACAAACTCTTGCCCTCCTCTCTGCTGCTCATCACCAGGACACAAATTACCTGGGCCAGCAATTTTATCACAGCATCTTCCAGGGAACCGACTTAGCCTGAAGGCAATGAAGSCCAACATTTAAAGTTTAATGCTTTATTTCACAGGGCTGCATGAGGCCACCCCAGTGCAGATCAACAACGTGCAAGGGCACAGCGTTAAGCCCTTCTAAGCCACTGGCTGCCASAAGATCAAGGGACAAGGCAGTGGGTAACATCTGAAATTGGTGCTTAAAATGCAAATTTTCTTCAGGTCTAGCTACTTCCTCAGCCAGCCCAACGGGCTCTGCCAGCAACAACTGTTTCTTACTCATTTCCAGCTACCAAGACTTTCATCCCTCCGAAAGCTTCTCTCCATTAGGGTCTTTTTCACACAAGTCTGAGTATTTTATGATATTTGAACTAAAAGATGCAGCAWATCAAACAAAATACATCTCTCTCCTTCCCACCAGCAACTTCAAGATCCTCTAGCATTGACTGACAACCCACAATATTGTGGGAAAGGCTGTTTTCAGATCAGCTGCTGGAAAAGCTCTTCCAAGGTAGCAGCTGAATTCAAATCACAYACCAATTAGCTCAGGGGGATTTGTATGTTTTTCTTTCAGGAAACCTATTTGAAAACAAAACAAAGGGAAAAAAATTGTTTAAATCTCATTAAAATATCTCAAACTGTGTCACCAACATGCCATACTTTCTGCTGAAAAAAACAGGAGCAGCTTTAACTAGTTTCACCCCATCAGATGGAGTTTAGTCCTTTAAACCCTCTTGCTGTGTTCCCCCACCTCCAACAAGATAACACAGAGGTCCAGAGCAGCTACAGACCTGCTCAGCACACGCAGCCAGCAAACCTCTGTGCCAAACCACCCAGGTCTGCATCATATTCTTCCCACAAGACGAGGTTTTCCACGCTGCTCTCCTTAGGTTTTCGCCTCTCGCCTCAAGGCCACATGCAGATGACCGTGCTTTTTCTGAAGCCAGTGCCAATGAGGCCACTGCATTCGTTATCCAGCAGGATAATGACAGAGTGCAATTCAGTCAACAGCAAATCCTCCCCAGGGAGATGCCCTCTGACCTTCCCTGAGCTGGGGGATGAACGCAGACAGCCAGATCTCAGACAGGCGGCAGAGCTGAGTGAATAATTCCTAATGAATCCTTTCATCTCTTCTTTTGTTTTGGGGAAGGGAGGGGGTGGGTGAAAGGAAATAGTTTGGTACTATCCACCAGCAGAAAATGATTTTCTAGAGCTACCCCAAATCACTGTCATCTGAACGACATTTTTCATGGCTTCTGCAGAGAACACGAGCACAGAACACAGGCTGCTCTCTGCAGAGAAACCCCTCCCGCAGACAGCCAGACTGGGAGAGGGGAGCCAAAAACACAGTAAGAGCAGGGATGCTCCTGGAAACCTCACTCAAAACTACCCTTAGGCGGGCAATTTAGAGTTAATCTCAGATATCCACTCAAAACACATTTTTACCAACAAAATCCAGTTCCACTCACACATCAGCAAACACATGAAGGACCAGAAAGTTCATAAAGTAAAGCCCACAAAAAGCCAAGATCTTACCTCTCTCCAMATGTCAGTCAGCCCTCACTATCAATTTTCTCTCATTTTCCAGGCCACAAGCTGTAAGGATAACAAGGATGTGATAAAAGCAGATTTATTTTTTCCCCAACAAAAAGAAGCAATTCTCATTTCTCCAGTGTGAATTCAGCTGTAGAATTCAGTTTAGCAGCATCTCCTGAACGCTCCGTGTCATCCAGAGGTATTACAGTAAATAAGGGTGGAAAAACAACTCACAACTSTGAGATCTCAGAGCTGCTTCACCAGTTTGCAGTCATCCCTCGGGCACTAGTCCACATCAGTTTTAGCCACGCAGTTTTTATCTGTGTCTCCCAATTGGTCCTGAAGTCAGCCACATCTGAAGCAGTCACTTCCAGCTGCACCAGCATTTACAGGGATTTACCCTCAGCAAGTCCCACCTCATCAGATTGTGGGATATACTGGGATTGTGGGATATACTGGGAATAGAAATCACACAGAAGGACCATGGGCTGAGGATGCTCCCGGCCCCATTCCCAGACAAATGAACTGACATGAACCTACACACTTAAACAGAGCTTGGCTCATGTATTTATATAGATGCCAAATCCCAGGGATATCAGTGACAATCTCCTCCCCAGTAAAACCTGATTACAGCGCTGGACTCTCTAAAACCCCCCTGCCACCTCCCTCATCACGGGGAGCAGCACAAACCCCTCCAGGTGCCCAGCACAGCAGGGGTTGCAATGCCAATGATTAAGCAGATCTTCAAAGGAAGRAAAACAAGAGTCCTGGTCAATGACTGACCAGTGTAATAGCTCAGGCTACTCTCATGAGCTCTTCTCACAGCACATTTGTTTGCTGGGCGGCCCAAGAGGTTTGCAAGGGTCAAACACGAGGTCATCAGCTTTGAGGAAAAATATAAAAAGCTGGAACGGCAAGTAAGGAAAGTCCCAGTACTTACAATTAARGCTAAAAAAGACACGAAAATGCAAATCCTCTAAGTTTAAACATACCAGAGGCAGAATCAAAAAGGAAAAAAAAAAAAAGGATCTTATGGTTTTTGAAGATCAAACCTTTGCCAATATTTAGTAATCCATGCAAAATTCTGACCAGCCTCAAGGACCAAGAGTGGCTGTAGAAAGCCAAACCTTGCTTTCGGGCTATTTTGAGAARCACTCACAAGGTTTATCCCAGAAACTGCTTTCTGCCTACTCAKATTTCTCAACTGAGCCGATCACATGGTGTTTCGATGGACTGCTGGAGACACTTGAGAATAGCAGMGCTGCCTGCTGCTATCTGCCTGGCACAGGGTGGTTTTTAATTGAGGCTGAACTCTTCAGTCCCTGCTGCAGTCTGCAGCTCCAATCACTGAAATAATAATTAAACCCAGGAGAAACAGTGCCAAGCAGCAATGCCTTTAACTAGTAYATTAAGATGAGGAAAGCTGAAGAGGTGCACAGACATCTCCAGGATGTGCTGTTTTGTTTCAAACCTRAGGATTTCACAGATTTTTAAACAGGAAGTCAGGGTGGCAGAAATCCTGCAGTACAGAAATGGGAAAGATGCAGCAAAGTATCCACTTTCACCTCACCCAGTTCAAGGAAGAAATCAGAGCAAGTTTTTTCCATTTGAGTTTGGGACCTTCCTCCCATAAGAATCGAGGGATTACAGAGAGGGAATGCAGAGCAAGAGAAGCACCCAAAACATCAGATAGAGTTGAGCCAAGAAACCACTCTGAGAAAGTCTCTGCTGGTGCAGAGGTACAGGGCAGATCAGACAACACAAGTTGTGCTCTGAAATCCGAGGGGAGAGAGTCAGCCTGGAAAYCACTCTCCTTTAGGTTAATTAGGCAAGTTGGATGTATCCAAGCCGGTTACCATGGCCACAGGAACTGAAGRGCAATGCTTTACACAGATTTCCCTGTGTGGGACTGGGGCAGGGAGCTCACCCAAGCCCTTCCAGGCCACCCCAGATGGACAGGGAGGAACCTGCAGCCCCAGGGACACCCTGGGCTCTGTGYCACCACTGTCACCCTGGAATGGGTGACACAAACCTTACTGCAACTGCTCCCTGCCCATAYCATGAGGCTGCTAAAAACAGCACCAGAGCTCAACCAGGTTAATGACACATCAAAAAGGTGCATTTGCACGAATAAATAAACAGAATGCATGCAAGATCTGCCCTCCATTTGGCTTTTGGTTGTTTGGTTTTGAGTGGGGAGAAAAACCAAAATGCTGCTGTTTTCTCTAAAAAAGTCAAAGCCCATCTGTCAAAGAAGTGACAGAAGCTGTCCATCTCTCCAAACACCACGCCAAATACAGCTGAAGCTTGTCCGTCAACTTCAGTGCCTGGGAAGAGACCACGGTATATTACAAACAAGCAAATATTTTAAGTGTCATTAACTACATTATGATCAACATCACATCAGTTGCTTACAACTCTACTCTGCGGCACACTCTCACCCGTGCGCTAGCACACACGAGTAAAATCTACTGCCACTTCAGGAGAAGCTGCAGATTTAGAAGAGAGTGGGAGAGAAAAAGCAATTTGCAATTCAGCAAAGCTCCTGTGGCAGAGCGGTTTTAAACTCYCCTGGGAAAAGGACCCTCCTCTCACTCTCTGCTCATCAGGTGCCTCACTGAGCTGGGACTGATGCTGGCAGAGCTGCCACAGAGCACAGAGGATGGCATCTGCCCAACTTTCCTCTTGTCAGCTCTCCCCGGATATGAAGGGCCACAGCACAGAAACACAGACTGCTCGAGTCYCCCGGGGTGCACAAGATCCAAGGAACAAAGGTCTTATAGCTGGCACAAAGCAGTGACCATGCAAAAAGCTTTTCCCTGTCGCAGAGGAACATTCCCAGCCACCATTCTGAACCAAACACTTCATTCCCAGCTCACAGAAAAAGAGCAAATGCCACAGACCTTCCCAAGGGCCCAGACCATGGCAGAAATGACTGAATTGCTACAACAACACTGCCTGAGCACGATCCAAGATGAAACTGCTGCTGCAGGAATGCCACCAAAACCTTCCCTGAGGGTCTGTATCACCTGTTGCAAAATTGGTTGGTTTGTCTCCTGTTTAACAGAGACATCACATGTCTGCAGACAGGTCTATGCAGAAGCTTGGGGGGAATATCCCTCCCTTAGAAGGGAATTTCAGGCCTGTGAAATTTAGTTCTCTAAAAGAAAGGCTTGAAACACAACCAGGTAAAGGACAGCCACTCTTCCCTTATTTCAGGCTGTCCCCTGGTCCYACCTCTGTCCTTGCAGCACMCATGKTCAACAAAGCAGGGCTGACTTCAMCAA